CCATTCAAAGAAAAGTTTGCACCACGGAGTTTTAAGTGTATTATGCTTGGTTACAGCTCAAGGCAAAAGGGGTTTAAACTCTTTGATATCATCAATAAACAGGTCTTTGTATCTAGAGATGTCATTTTCCATGAAAATATTTTTCCCTATAAAGAGGTTCATGATTCCAGTCCTCCTATACCTCTCCCAGTATCTGATATATTCTCTGACGATGATCCACCTATTCCCACTCATTTTGGCAGTCACAATGATGTTCAAACCCCTTCTGTTGGCTCCCCTGTTATTCACCAACCTATGGCTACTTATAATCTCAGTCAAGAAAAGGTCAATCAACATGATGCTCCTTTGAATTCCACTTCAAATCAGATGGTTCACAACTAGGTTATCCCTCCACCTAGAAAAAGTACCAGACCAAAAGTTGCTCCTACTTGGATGCAAGACTTTGTGAGTAACCACACATCTTCTATTTCCATACCTGAACATTTTCCCAACACATCGAAATCCTCTTCACATACACCAAACACATATCCTTTCCATAAATCCCCTGTTTTTGCTCCTAGCTATTGTCACTTTCTGGCTAATGTCTCTGCAATCCAAGAACCAAAGTCTTATAAGGAAGCTAGCACTAAAGCAGAATGGATTCAAGCAATGGAAAATGAACTTGCAGCCTTGGAAAAAAACCAGACCTGGGAAGTTGTACCCTTGCCTCAAGGAAAGAATCACATTGGTTCAAAATGGGTTTATAAAGCAAAATTGAAGCCAGATGGGAGCTTAGACAGATGTAAAGTCAGGCTAGTGGCAAAAGGATATAATCAAGTAGCTGGAGATGTTGACAGTTTCTCACCTGTGGCAAAATCTGTGACCATCAGAATTTTTTTTTGCAATTTCATCTGCTCAACAATGGCCTATATACCAGTTAGACATTAACAATGCGTTCTTGCATGGCTTCGTTGACGAAGAGATTTATTTGTGGCCTCCAGAAGGATATACGCCACTTAAGGAAGGTGAAGTGTGTAAACTTAAAAGATCACTCTATAGCTTAAAGCAGGCTAGCAGGCAGTGGAATTCAGAATTGTGCAAACATTTGCAAATTTATGGTTTCACACAATCAGCACATGATAATTGTTTGTTCATTCTCCAGTCAGAGAGTGCCACCACAATTCTTCTTGTTTATGTAGATGATGTGCTCGTCACAGGAACCGATGATAAAGAATTACAAAGGGTCAAGAAATTTCTGGATACTACCTTCACTATAAAGGATTTGGGACTTGCTAAGTACTTCTTGGGGATAGAAATAGCACGTTGTCCTGAGGGTCTGTATCTCAACCAAAGGAAGTATTCTATTGACATTATTTCTGATGCTTGTTTGATTGGTTCCAAACCTGTGGATATTCCCCTGCAAAAGGGTCATAAGTTCACTGCTGCAGGTGTTTTGTATTCACAGCCTGAGCAGTACAGGAGGCTTGTAGGCCGATTACTCTATCTCAATCTTACTAGACCGGACTTATCTTATGTTGTTCAGCAACTCAGTCAGTTTGTTAACTCACCAACCATCTCGCACTGGGAAGCTGCTTTACACTTGCTGAAATACATCAAAGGTACTTTGTCAAAGGGTCTGTTCTTTCCTTCTTCCAACAATTACAAACTTGTTGCTTATTGTGATGCGGATTGGGCCTCTTGTTCGGATTCTAGGAAGTCATTGACTGGTTATTGCATATCTTTGGGTGGAGCTCTCATTTCCTGGAAATCGAAGAAGCAGCAAACCATTTCCCGTAGTTCTACTGAAGCTGAGTATCGGAGTATGGCTGCTGAAATTCAGTGGATCACTTACCTTCTACAGAATTTTTGTATTACTCCAGTTCTCCCAATTCCTTTGTGGTGTGACAATCAGGCAGCCATCCATATTAGCGCTAATCCGGTTTTCCATGAACGGACGAAGCATTTGGAAATCGATTGTCATGTGGTTCGTAATCAGTTCAAAGCTGGTCTCATTCTTCCTCAACACATGTCTTCCAGGGATCAAGCTGCGGACATCTTTACTAAGTCTCTCCCATCTCCTCAATTCCGGTTCTTACTGTCCAAGTTGGGATTGATGGACTTTCATCAATCTCCAACTTGAGGGGGGATGTGGATATTATTCAAAGGACTTAATTGTTCTTCTTTAAATAGCTTAGGACTTAATTGTTCTTCATTAAATAGCTTAGGTCCTTCTTTGTAATAAGTATAGTTAGTTCTAGTTCCGTTTCTGTTGTTTTGATTTTTTCCCTCTTTCCCTGGGTCTATATATAGACCTCCATTGTTGTACCGTTGGTATGTTGGTAATGGAATAAAATTGTTGATTCCAATTAATCGAACATACTCGCTATTCTCATTTTCAAGGAGATAAAAGGTGTAGTGCTCATTCACTTGGATAGATTTTCGTACATCAGTGGGAGAAAATGATTTATATCTAGTGAGTTTCTGATTATTACACTTTTGTAATGGAGGTAGTCCATGCAAATTTATTATTTTTGGATCTTCTGATCATGTTCCCCTCTTGATGTAATCAATCATATCTTGCAAATAGGATCTTCCCTGTTGTATTTTTTTTACCCCAGTTTTAAGATAGTGATAGCTTTTAATCATCTGTCACACCCCCAAACCTTGAAGCAAACCCTCATTTTATACTGAATTTGTTATTGAAAAATATCGTATGGATTCTACCTAGTCAGCTAGAGAAAATTCTGAAACAAGAATCTCAATCATAGTGGAAAGAATACAAAAATGAGTAATTGAAACAGTTAATACTGTATGGATCTCTAATTTGGCCTGTGACCTATATTTAACAACTTCATAGAGATCATCAATGTACAAACTCCAAAACTGCGNCTATATTTAACAACTTCATAGAGATCATCAATGTACAAACTCCAAAACTGCGTAATAACCGATCAACACCGGGAGGGACAAAATCATTCCAAAGATAACACTGAAATTTGAAAATAAATTTCTGTTAATTTAATTTTCATATAATCAACGGATCTGGATTGTGGCATTGCCGCCAGCAAAGTAAAATAATTAATAAATCAAAGAATTAGGAATATCTCGTTGCCTAGTACCCTGTATTTTAGACATTTTATTCCGATGATAGGAGATTACTTTTCCGCATTAAATTCTATGCCATTTCGAAGTTTTGTGATGAATTTTGGTGGAAGCTACCTGTATTATAGCAACACGCAAGACATCGCCATGCAACCCCACTGCGAGCGAACCGATGGCCATGGCGACTGGTCCAGCAATAAATCTCAAAGCCATTCCAAATACAGTTAAACTTGCACCACAGGCAATTATTTCCTCTTGCATTGCCATGAACAATCCTGATCAATAGGGACAAATAGATAACATAATTGTATATGCTTTAGTTTTGCTGTGTGTGTGCGTGTAATTTGTTTAGACATGCAGGGTTATGATCAGTCTCTCACCCATGCTAAAGGCAGTGCCTGTACCAGCTTTCGATTCGACATGATTAAAATTGATCCTTCTATGATGCTAGGCATTTGCAAAAGAAACCTAATTAATAATATAATTAGGTACATTTAGGACAGTGAACCTAAATAGTAATCACACAAAAAGAATACTAAAAGATCATAAAATTATATGTTCGTGTAAGAATTTACTAATCGAATGCTATAGTACAATAGCCTATATATACCTGTTAGCTAAGAAGGCCCAAATCATGCCTATTATACATGCATATGAGTTTGGATTCAGTGCAAGTTTGAGGCCAACAGTTTTCAGCAAAGAGCAGAAAGATGATCTGGGGGTGTTGCTCACCTCATCCTCGGTCTTTGCATGCAGTAGCATTTTCTTCCAAATCTTTACGCGTTTTATCACCAAAGGCCAAAGCATTTGTGTTATTATTATTGTAATAGAAGTCATTCTCAGTTCGTCTAATTTCTAAGACGAACAATAGGATTGTTAGCCACACAATGGCTTGAATTACTGAAACAAGGTCAACAGCCATACGTCCATACATAGCTTTCAAAAGGGGCACCCCAACAACAAGAGAATTAGTAAGTGTAGACAAAGAGAAGCTCTCGAGCGTTTCCCACATTTGCCTTCTCGTTTGAATTCTAACATTAATTTGATGATGGATGTCTGAATAGAATCTGATGTTCATTTTACAAATTTATTGATTTGTTCCACTTCTGGTTGTAATTACATTGATTGATTATAGCAGAACAGCACATAATGATGTGAATGTGGATTGATTTAATTTGGAAATAACAATAGGATTTTGATATTCTTTCAAGCAAGTATAGTTTAATTTGCACCAAATTAACTAGTTTGGAAAAGCATTTACCATCTTGCATTGATGATATGATCAACCTCATGAATTCAAGTGTTGATGATGGGTGCAGGAAGAAAGAAGATTTCAAGGAAACGTGGGATAGCTGGGAATAGAGATAATATTTCGGAGTGTCCGTTTCGGAGAAGTTTGGATCAATTTTGTATGGAAACAGCCCTACAAGAAAAACTCTGGGATTTGTCCCCGACGTACGACCTTTTTCGACCAAATTCTATCATTTAAGCTTCTGAAAACGCATTTTTTCCTTTTTTAGCAACTTTATTTTTTGATTTTTTTTAGTAAATAAATTCGAAATTCAATTTTGTTTATTGCAAATTGATAATGAAGATTAGGGCTTTTAATTTTCGTCATTATCTTTAAAACTGTAAGCCTTAATGACATTCAAATTTTGATAAATCGTGAGCGAATTAACAAGTTTGAGTTTTCACGTGCAATTCTTGTTCTTTCTTATAAGCTTCCTCTACATGAGATGCCCACTGTTAAATTGCTCAACAATGCCATAGGCATAGAAAAGTTCACAGAAATCATACCAATGGACACTAACATATTAGCATTGAAAGATTAAAAAAAAAGCCATATAGGTGCCACGTTTTTATCTGTTTTTTCCTGTACTTACAGAATAATTCTAAGTGTATAGCTTCTGGGTCAGGATCAGAGCCAGGCCCAAAAACAGGGTGCCGACGTGGCGCCCTACAATTGGATGGTGAGCTCACCCCTCGTAAGCTCGCCTCCAATTGCAGGGCGCCATGTCTCGGCGCCCTGTTTGTGAGTCTGGCCCAGAAGCACGGCTCTAATTCTAAATTGCTCCATAAGCATTAAAAAGTTTTCAAAAGCATCGAATCCCAGTCACTCATTGTGTGGTCCATGTCAATGGAAGGCTATAAACTCATTGAAGACATCTAGCGCATGTGAGGCCTAGACATCTCAAGACATCATATACCTATTAAAGCCTCAAACTTTCACTACCTTCAGGTTTCTTTAGGGGTCGAAGAGTTGACTCAGAACTAGTACATACAAGGAAAATCTGACTATTTAATTAATTAATACAACCCTTTTGTTTTCTCAATTAAATATTGTATACTATTTGGAGTTTTCGATTTTTCATATGTAAATATATTTAATGTATCTCCTTCGCACATGATTTCCCCATAATAGCCATGAACTATTGCTCCTGGCGTGACCAAATATGGCTTAGCTGACCATAAGAAACATAGCCACAAATTAAAGTTATGGGATGTTAATGATCAATTATGTCTAATGCTAGATACATATTACATTTTTTATAAATAAAAAATAGACAACGGAATCTTATTTCCTTTCAAGCGTGCTTTCGATTGTTGATCTTGTTTGTTGTTCTTGATTCGATTTTGAAATCTTCAAGTTCCCTTGAATTCGACTTTTTACAAATTATTGCATCTTCTTTAGTGAGCTCCAAAAATTGAACTATAACGGTGTGTGGTGTGGTCCCTGAGTACAAACTCAAGAATTTAGGAAGAACATACGTGCACCACCAACTTTAAATTTATAATAGCATGCTATAGAAAATTTAATAACGCTAGTTTTCTCTACGTGGGTTGCATGTTTTTTAATGTATACGATAATATAATGTGTACTTTATGCTTTCTATATGTTTGAGTTGAAAAGGACATTCAGTTAAAATTATCTTATTAACATGAAGTTGACACTAAAACGAATAAAACATAAATTATAAATTGTTCATTTGAATCGTGTCCTCTCTATGTATGTTCAACAGTCATTCCGTGTTGCACTCCAACAATCCATGAAGTTGTTGAAGGTAAATATCTACTAAACGTCCAATTTTGCTAGTTCGGAGTAAGTGCAAGACACTAAAACGCGGTTCCTAGTTCAAATACCCTAATATTAACTCCCTTGTTTTTTTGAAAAAAAAAAGGAATTGTCTAAGAAAACTTGTCATCTTTATTTTTTGCAACTCTCAAGTTTCCTCTCATACATTCAATTGGGGAAACCTTCTTTTTGTATAATTCGACAGGAAAATAACTCTGTACATGTACTTGTTATGAGGCATTGCAACTGCTGAAGAAACGTAGGATGGGAAATGAAATCGTTGATTTTCTTAGAGCCAACACTCTTTTTTTCAATTAGCTGTTGAACTTTTGTTCAGTGGTGTTTGTTGAAGCCTGTGGCATTCGTTAAAACAGGAGTTAAATAATGTAAAGTAAAAAGTAGGAATTGATTGTATGCTGAAGAATATTCATAGAAATGCTAGTTAAGATTGCAACTTTTGAAGAATATATGCTGATGCAGCGAGAAGGTCAAGATAAAGAATTATTAGAAAGACATTTTATTATTTTGAAGTGAATTTCATTCTTACCCCAGCTGGTGTCACAAAATGGCAAACTGCACATTTTACAGATGGTGCCCCATATTGGTACATCAACAGCATCCGGCAATGCCCACAATTCACATGTGCTACTTGATTTGCTACAACAAATGACACTTGTTATTTACGATTTTTCAAGAGACAGGAAAACACAGGTAGATAAATCTGTACCTTCCAAAGCTAGATTGATGGAGTAGCAACATGAGCATTGCACGCTTGTTGCACCTCGAATGTACATTAGTAATGTGTGGCAACCTCCACATACCAATTGAGCCATTTCAGTGCCTGCTCAAGGGCCATTCGGCATTTAAATAAATATTGGAGGCGTAGAAAATATTTGACTTAAAACACTCGATTTTGAAGGCTGTTCTGGATATATATATATATATATATACCGGGAGGAGGTACAGATGTGACTGCATTGCATACAGCACAACATACAGAGGTTGCTCCAACTGGATAGATTAAAAGGTTTTGACAACCAGAACACACAAGCTGGCTTTGTGCACCTAATAACCATCATAAGGACAGATCATAAGTATTATGTAATCCACAAAGCAGAGCACAACTCTTCTCTGCTGCAATTTCAAAGCATTTTTTGATACAACTTGTAAATTGGTTTATAAATTCTGTCAAACGTATTCATAACGTCCATTCATTATTATCTACACATTTTGTTTGACGCACTACTACTATTTATAAACCATTTATAAATTCGTCAGAAGGTGGAAATTTTTTCTTGGATGATAGGACTATTACAAAAGAAATTTACGAGGGAAATGTAGAATTATCTATCTATCTTGTTCAATATTTGGGTATGATCTGTCTCAATTTACATTCGGACTAATGAGGTCGGGATTTCATGTGTTTAATTAAATGAGAAGAGAAGAATAATTAAGGTACGAAATTTTGTTTTCTTTTAGTTGTGTCATATATATCGAGCTCTATTTTCTTGAGCCAAAAAGGTTCACTATTCTTACCATTGGCGGGTGGCGTGAAAGGTACTGAAACAGTTGGATATGGAGCAAGAGGCGCCGGCATTCTGAATCTGACTAATATAGGTACACTTTCTCCTTAGCAAAATCTTAGAATATTTCTAATTCATGCAGCTGTAATGCAACAGTTCCATTCGTCCTCACAGTGCCCTGGAAATTAAGAAAATACAAATAAAGGTTGACTTTAAATGTGAATGATAAGCCACGAATGGAGAGAATACAGATCATACCAGTAAGAATTCAAGTGTACTTAGACACTCTGCTAGCCATGAATTCAGTGGGACATCATCAAGTCAGATGACTGCGGCATACACACGCCTTTGCAAGTTGCTTATGGAGAGAGAGAGAGAGAGAGAGAGATTTTGGGTGGAAAGAAAACGATTGGTAAACCTTTGAAACAAAGGAAGGAAATTTGACACTGAACCAAGCCAGTAATGGAATTCGATTGTATGTAATTTATTTTGGCAAGTGAAAGTGAAGCTAAAAGGTGTCCAGCAAAGTAGGTTCATTAAAAAAAAAGAGTGGAAATTTGGTATCCACAACAATTTTTTTAATTATAATGAGGTGGGGACTACTATGTCAAAATCCTAAGTTGAAAAGACAAACGGACACTGACAATTTAAAAAAAAAAAAAAATGACACCGACAATTCCATTTATATTTTATAAAAATTTTAAATTTATATAATATATCCTTAAACACAGCACATCCTATGTCGAATACATCCAAGAAGTGTCCCTAAAGTATCTCGAGTGTTAGAAGTTTAAAAAATATATATAAAAATTGAGCATGGTATGTAACTTGTCAGGTATGGAGTGTTCAAAGAGTATCGATTTCAACACGACAAAATACTTGCACACGTCATCCGAGTAGAAGTTTGGTTGTATCATAGTCAATATCCTAGTTACTAAATCCGTGTGCATTTTAACTACGCAGTATTGACTTCTCATATATTTGTCTTCCTAAATTAACTAACTTGCTACAAGTCGGGTAGATAATAAAGTCCATTTTCAAATCTGCCTAAACATCAGGAGACAAATTCATTGCAAGATAAAGTACAATATGCAAATTAAAGAGAGTAAAGCCACTTTACCCGAAAATAATTGACACCTAGGGTGACCAACCCTCACATTGCGCGAGGGTCCCGTATAAATAAAATAATGTCTGACCCTCGAGGTGTGTGTTCGGTCATCTCTTATATTCATGAAACATGGTTTTTTGGTTTCTTATCTTGTCCACCAACTTACTGTATGTGTCGGTGTTATGTATTTCGTCATGTAACATGTATCTGTGAATCAAGGTCAATAGCACATGTTACATGATGAAAGACATAACACCGACACATGCAGTGAGTTGGTGGACAAGATAAGAAACCAAAAATGTGAGGGAAACTTGAAAGTAATGAGGAGTTATATTGGCACCACATTTTTCTCTTGTTGCGCTATATTTTAATCGCATTTAAGATGTCACAATTATATACCTAACACATATTTAATTTCAACCTTCTATAAACTAACACATCTCGTTTCGATCTAATAACATTTTTCATCCAAAAGGTCCGTTAAAAAGGTGTAAAAAGAGTTATTTGCCTTTCATATTTTCAAATGAACAAAAAAAGGATAAATGCAAAGTGTAGGAAATTATTATTTGCCTCTCATTTAGAAACACACAAACAAAATATTTGGAAAGAAATCATCATGAAGACCAGATATGTTAATTAATAGAAGGTTGAAGAATTCGACCAAAAACATTGTTGAAATAATGCATTGATGCTACAATAAACAAAGAATGAAGACCTTTATTGTAATTAAAATATGTTACGGATATGAAAACCTGAAAACAATTAAGACAGCATTGAGAAGTGTTATCTATGAATTTAAGCATTAGCATAGGCAATGACCTGGATTGATAGATGACAATACATGAAGAGAGGACCACTTCTTCCCCATCCTTGTTGGCCTTTAACCGCGTTCTCTTCCTTGATTCCAACTGGATATTTTTATTTCACTCACAGACAAATCCATCAATAATTTATCTTCACCATTAACCAAACAAAAAAAATAATGCACAGCTCTTTTCCATTCACAACCTATGTATAAAATTCTAATAGGTTTTCACACCCAAAAGAAAATAAATTCACCCATTAGTGGTCTTGCAGCTTCCATAGACGAGCTCATTTAGCTAAAAGATATATAACTAAATCACAGAAATATATTCGGGAACGGTCCGAAAATTAAATTAAACATCTTAAAACATGTTACAGATGTTGACTGTGTTGGACATGATTAATGTACTAAAATTTGTGACACTATCACTAGTGAGTAATGATATAAAGAGAGAGAGAAAAGGAGGGGGCTTCAATCAGGCACTTCAAAAACCATATGAGACAAAGATTTCCAGCGAACTCATACCCCCATCTAATCAATCATCACAAGCTGTTCTTGAATTCAGGAAGAGAGAAGAGTAAAGTAACTAGAACACAGAAGGATTTTCAAATTTTTAGTCGAACTTAAAACCTTATAATAGAGAATGACGTCTATTGATGCAGTTCATAGAAAGAAGCGATTAATATTGATGAGTATGAATCAAATTATACAAAAATAAAGTATCCCAATACATGCAAGAGGATGTATAAGAAGAAGCTAAAGCATGAGAAAAATTACATACACAAATATAAAGTTAGCTTAGTAGCTGGGTGGTTCTCAAGAAAAGAAAATGTTGGTTATTTTTAATTTTTTATACATACTTCTTGTTTCTGGAGCTATTTTTAGATAAATATTCAAAAATCTTCTTACCTGTAGATTGGAATGAATAAAAGGATATGGAACAACTAAGAGATTTCAAGGCAAATGGAATTTATTCGAAGAATTACACCTATAATCTCCATTTTATACCTAAATGAGCATTTGGATCCCAGTAAATAGAATAACAAATTACATAAAACCAACAGGAAGCTAACGAGTGGCACGAAATCTGTGGACCCAAACTTTTTCAAGGAAGCAAAACTCCAATACTTCATTTTTCTAAGATAAACCACAAGGGGCATTCCACGAAACACACATCTATCTTGAGTCCTTTTCATTTGTCATGTGCCAGTACACAAACAAGACCTTCTCCAATTTCAAAATCACTCATTTGTGTATTGTAACATTCCAAATTTTCTAAATTATTGATGGAATGTTAAAAAGAGGATAAGGGTAATCTTTTCAATCACACATCGATCTAGGATTGGCTCGTAAAATCTCTCTTTCTATGCTTTCATTGATTGGATGTTGACAACATATCCCATTTCACTAGGACCTTCTAAAACACTGAGAGACGAAGGGATTGATGATCACATTCAAGTGGGAAGGATGCGAACATGCCACATGGCACCAACATAGAGCTATTGATTGGTACAGCCCAAAAATTTTCCTTTTATGGTCATTTTTCCTCCATCTTATAGCTAGAAACTCTTACATATGACTGAAAAGTTTTTTCAATCACTAGGCTAACCTGTGTTTTAACAGGGACATCTTGTTAAGCATATCAAGCTGAGAACCTGAAACCATCCCCTGACAGTTGATCTCCCGTTCAGTGAAATGTTTCCTTCAGTTAGAAACAAAAATATTTGTTATCTTCATTTTCTATTAATATATTTAAAATGATCCAAATTCAAATCATTTAAGATCAGCTATTTATAGCTATGTTATATTGAGAAATAATACGGTTGAAGGGACATGAGTAACAACCTAATATAGTTAAAATACCAAACAACTCCACCCTTTGAAAAAAAAAGTATACCTGAAAAAGGAGAAAAAATAAAAATAAAAATATTTCTAGTAGCTAATCCCGTTACTACAGTTTTCATGATTATAGATATTGATGATCATGTCTCTACAACCGTATTATTTCTTAAGAATCTAAACGTTACGTGTTTGAACATAGTATTAATCCCGTTAAAAAGGTTCTTGTTTGTTCAGGAGGGATCTTGATTCTTCAGGTTCCTGAAAAAGAGAAATATGCTGCATTACACTTATTATGTAAGAACATAGTGCTACCTGTAACCTCCTCTCACTCACAAACATAAAGAGCAAATGTCTTGCATATTTATTTTAGTGTTTTATGAATTTTTGGTAGAAATTATGAAGATGATCATAAATTATATCCCCAAAAAAAAAGAAAAAAAATGAATTATTACACCTATGATGCTGCACTGATCAAGAGCGGATGAAGATGATACATATGCTAGATTCAGATTGATAATTCCATATATAAGAAAGATTTAAATAATACCTTAAGCATAACCTGCTAATTACATTCCTCTGCATAGATGCTTTTACAGATGCAGATGCTCAAAATGGTGAGATAATGACCTGCGGTGTCTTTCCCATGGCTTTTAGTGCTAACTAATTGTTATCATCAAGTAGACAGAGATAAAAAGTAGTTAAAACTAAGCAGAATTCATGGGATATAAAGCATTCACTCAAACTTGGTTACGGTCTTTCCTCAAATTCTTGCTGTCCCCACCTTCTAATACTCTTTTGTGAATCTCCAAAAAACTTACCAATTGATTTGACGATTCGACCTAGGTTCAAAGCTGCAAGAATTACTTATAAACATCACTCAGCAACTATCAAGTTTAAACACCACAGAAGGAAGAAAAAGCCTCTTGGCAACTCCATTCAAAACCTGAAGCTTCCGTCTGTGAAAACATAATAGTCTAAGGACAACATTCAATTGTAATGAAGAATACAATTCCACATTCAGTTGAAATCTAATGTATGCAAACGCACAACACTCAAAAATAAAGCCATATGCAAAGAGAGTGGAGAGGCAACAAAAAGAACCTGAACCAGAATCAAAATTAATTTCACTTTCACTTTGCATGCGTGCGAATTAAATATCATGAAATAAGCAAATAGATCATAAACAATAAACTGAAAGAAAATGAAAATATTGGTATTCAGTGAGGACCATCCTCTTTACCCTACCAATATATTTTAATATATATCTATGAGGTCCCGGTTAGGTCATGGTCTTAAAATCCGCAAATCTCCGTTAATCT